TCAAAGAATTGTTAAAAACTTAGTGCTCATAGAGAATGAAAGAGGATATGGAGCCTCTTGGGAACCATCTTTCATGAAACACTATTCTAGCAAGTTCTATCAGGCCTGCATTAAGGCTTTGAGGCACCAAAGTACCAGCACCCCTTAGTGGCTTTCACAGCCTGGCTGCTCTTGTAAGCAGTGAAGCAACATTGATGTGCATAAGGCTTTTTGTTCCAGACGGTTGAGAGAGGATTTTTTCCAGTCTGTTTTGGAGAGCTGAGTAAAGATTCCATGTTCTAGAACTCCAAAGTTCACATGGAAGAAAGATCAGGCATGCAAGATAACTTAATAATTTTTTGGTTCTGAAATGATTCTCAGCAGTGACATGTGTTTGAACTTCTAGGCTTCCCCTGTCAAATTCCTTGACAAGGGGGTGGGAGAAAAGGGCGAGGGCTGTCAAGTAGCTGTGTGGAGGCTGCTTAAAGATTTTATGAGCTTCCTCAGACAGGCAGATTTGGGACAGGATTGATATTTAAAAAATGGAGCATGGCTCCATGCAGCCATACCATTTACAATGAGAGCACGGGGATCTGCATCTATCTTGTTAAGACTTACTGTAGTACTTTCCAGCCCGGTGTCCATGGCTCATGCCTGCAGTCCTAGCTACTCACGAGGCTGAGATCTGAGGATTGTCGTCAGCCCAGCTCAGGCAGGAAAGTTGGTGAGACTCTTATCTCTAGTTAATCAGCAAGAAGACAGAAGTGGAGCTGTGGCTCTCTAGGGGTAGGTAAAGCATCAATTTTTTTTGGGGGGGGGTCTGGTTGTAGGGCCTGGGCGCTGTCCCTCACCTCTTCAGCTCAAGGCTAGCACTCTACCACTTGAGCCACAGCGCCACTTCTGGCTTTTTTTTTCTGCTTATGTGGTGCTGAGGAATCGAACCCAGGGCCTCATGCATGCAAGGCAAGCGCTCTACCACTGAGCCACCTTCCCAGCCCTAGAGCATCAATCTTAGTGAAAAAGGTAAAGGACCATGCTCAAGCCCTCAGTTCAGGTGACAGTACTGGCATTAAAAAAAAAAAACTGCTTAGATTACTGGAAAAGTTATGTGCTTAATCAGGATGATAACGTGAAAATGAGTTTTGTGGGTTTGGGGGGCAAGCAGTGCCTCTTCAGTGGAAGTTGGGTCATGTTATGGGAACATGAGTCAAGCTCCTGCAGCCCCTTCATGTATCCTGAGCATTTGCGAGTTCTCCTCAATCACTGTCTCTTATACACATCAAGGTTCTACTATATCTGTGCTTATTGTGGGAGAAAAGTCATTGTCTATGTAAAATTAAGTGAAATTTCTCCTTTGTTGTGAACTGCACCTTGGTCTCATTTGACACCCAGGACAACCTGGGTTTGTGGATGCTGCCATCCTGTCTTCACCACAGGCTAAACCTCAGAAAGGGGATCTGCATGGTGATACTTGCTGCTGTGCCATAGATCTACAAACACAGACTCACTCAGTCCCCTCTCTGTCTAGATCCTGATTTAAACCAGTGGGGATGGCTATTGGGGTGCTCAGCACTTCTCTCCTCCGGGAGAGGCTCCTCTGCCCCTAGCTGAACCCTTCTCTGGTGTGCAATGAAGGAAAGCAAGATGGACAGTAGGTGTGGAGGGGAAGGGAAGTAGGAAAATCTGGTGTAAACCCTAAACTTCTCAACCTCAAATTCTGACCCTTCTTACTTTGGTTTTCAGAAATCATGAGGTCCAATGGATTTTGTTTGGCAAACACAGAAACTATAGTTATTGACCACAGCATACCTAATGGGCAAGACCAGCACCTGGGTGACGATTCCACAGAGCATTTGTAAGTACACTGATCTCGAAATGGTTTTATAGAAGGGGACACCAGGCTGGTGATCAGGCTGAGGCTTACTGCCCCATAAAAAGAAGTATGGATGGAAGGCCAGAGGTAACTGACAGCACAGTGCCAATATCTGGGTTTTTATTTTTAAAAGTAGCCTTTACTAGAGGCCAATGATTCACTGATCTGTGGAGATACTTAGGCTTACTGTGAGGGTCAAAGCTCCAGGGACCAGTTTGTGCTTCCCTGAGGTATGTGACACCATCTTCAAGCCCAGGGCTGGAAGACTACATCCCTCTACATTTAAAGGGGTCAGTCCCCTGGGACAGGGAAGTGTGCTATATTGGCTTCATGGGTAATCAGTGGCTTGGGATAGAGTCTGATCATCAACCCTGTTCTGTAGGGGAGATAAACATACCACTACTGAAGGCTGCACAGCCAATGACAACACTGTCACTTTTATCCTTCTACCTCTGGCAGTTTAATTTCTAACTGTAACACAGTCTAGAAAGCCTGGCACCTGGATGCTAGTGGGCACAGCTACCTTCATGTTCTGCTTCTGCCTGTCAGCTCCCTGGTGAATTACTGGAGCAGCGTGTCCCCTAGGCAGATGAGGGGAAGTCATCCATCCCTTTTGCTTATGTTTAGTGTCAAGGCCAAGTCCAGTCTTACTGGTTGTGTGAGTGCAGGAAGTTCACTGACCTCCCCTGGCTTCTCCTGTCTCCAAGGGGGCTGTCTGCTCTGTCACAGATGGACCTGAGCTGAGGAGATGGACTGAGATGAGGAGCAAAACCTGTCTGGCTCAGAAGCCTCTGAGGAGGCATTGTGGGCTGCAGAGTGCCCTGGGGCTAGGCTTGTGCCTGGAAGACTCAGGACTAGACCCACTCACTCAGTGGTCCTCAGGTGAAGATCAAAAGTAGGATGAGGCTGGGTCATGGGCTGAGATGCTTGGGGCAGCTATCAAGAGGATTCAGTAGACATTAGGTGGCCTGAGTCTCCAGGATTGTCTTCATGCTGTGTTTCCCTTCCACACCTGGGAAACTGGTCCCACCAGCAGTGCTCCCTTCTCAGTTTGTATGTAGGGCTCTTTCTCAGGAGGATGTGGAGGGTGGGTTTTCTCTCAGTAGGCCTTGTCCCAGGAAGGTGGTACAAGGATCTCTTGCGATCAGTGTGACATTGGGTTTGGGGTGGCCATATCAGAAGCCTAGGTCCATGCTGTCTGGACAGCTTGTAGACTCCCTTATTACTCCAGGCTTTAGAGATGGAATTAGTTTCTACAATTCTCCACTGGTCAGTGGTGTCTTGAAGTGCTGGGAACTAAACCATGGATATAGCTTGTTTGGTGGGCTCGGAAGTTTCTCTGCCTTACCAACTCTTCCTCCTGCCTTACTGACACTGATTCTAGGTTAGGAAGGTGACAGCCACAGAAGGAGTGGCATCTTCTGCCTTCCTGGGAAGAATGTCCTTCTCGGTCAAGCTGTGCGCTGCCACAGCCCAAGCCATCTAAAGAAGGAATGAATGGCTTTCTCACAGTGCTGGAAGTCAGCAAATTCATAACATGGTGTTGGCTTTCTGTCAGGACTTGCATGCTACATCCTAGCATGGTGCGAAGGAAAAGGGGCCAGAAAAGAGGGAGAGGGATAGACAAAAGGAAGAGGTAGAAGTGGAGGAGGAGGAGGAAGAGGGGGGCATCTACAATCTGGCCAAAGAGAGAGAAAGGGAAACAGGGAGATAGAAAGACTTAGTTAAGAAAGGAGAGAAAGACAAATGGAGAGGGAGAAAGAGGGGAATAAGAGAGGGAGGCGGAAAGAGAGAGAAGAGGGAGAGAGGGAGGGAGGGCACTCCTTTAATAACAAACCCAGGCCCAGTGGCTTTGATCTATTCTCAGGCCAAGCCTTCCTGGCCAAACCATCTCTAAGAGCTCTACCTCTCAGCATTGCTGCACTGAGGATTTACCAGGAACATCATGGGGAATCACGTTCCAACCTTAGCAGTTCCTTCATGTACTTCTTTCTCAGTTACACATTTTAAAAATGTCTAGTATCATTTTCCAGTTCAGGAGGCCGAATCTACATTGGGCTGGTGGGAATTACCATTTACTTTTGGGTTACCTGTGCTTCCCTCAGCTCCCCTCCCAACCCCCCCCCCAATGTGAGCTTCTCACATTCCAGTAGTCCTTGCCTTTTACAGACTGGATCTCCACCCACCCAACACAGGCTTCTTGACCTGAAGGACCCTCCCTCCAGGGTCTCCCTGAGCTTCCTGTCCCTCCTTGAACCCTGAGCCCAGCCCCTCCTGCCTTGTCCCCTGCTGGTCCCCAAGCTAACACAGTGCTTGGCACTAAGCAAAAAAAGCAAAGTGATCACCCCATAAATGAAGGGATGCCTCCCTCATTATAGTTAAGCAACCATATATAAGCAACCAGTCACTCTGCCGGTCTCTACATTTCGCCCAGTTCATTTGCAGTTATGGTTCTTCTTGCTCGCGCCCATCTGCAGCAAGACTGGGAAGGATGCCCAGGGCCTCCATCAGCCTCCCACAGAGCCTTGATTTCTCAGCACCCAACCAAGACCACCTCTGCCCTTTCTTTCTCCTCAGCCTGGGTCTAGTAAGCTGGCCTTCATTTCTGTCTTCTCTTTCAGGTTTGAAAATGGCAGCGAGTTCACCTCAGAGATGGAAGATGGTGATGACCCTGAGGCTTATGTCACCAACCTGTCCTATTACCATCTGGTCCCCTTTGAGACGGACATTTTGGACTGATCCTCTCCATGGGGCCTTCCCGGCCTCAGCCTATGACTGCATGTCCTAATGCTGTCCACTGGGTGGCCCCAATGGTGAAAGGTCTTGGCCCACCCAGGGGTTTTGTCACCACCCCCAGTGAGGCCCCGTGTCCTGCAATTGGCCCTGCAGAAGCTCCTAGTGGCTACAGGCTGATGGCAGGTTCAACAGTGGAAGTCCATGCAGCCAAGGGGTCATCTCTGCACTTGTACCACCATCCTGCCTCTCCCCTGGGACCCCCTGTCCCACTTGGTGTGTCACAGAGCACATGCTCCAAGGGCTGTCACTGCCTTTTCTTGCTGTCACTGCCTCCTTAGGGAGCACATTGTTCTTTGTCAAGGGGCCTGGCCACCCTGACTCCCCACCATTCCCTCATATGTCAACGGCACAAAGCATTTAGGAGGAAGTTTTGACGAGTCATCAGGTTCTGAACAACACAGACCTGGATGTTCAGGGCTGCAGGGCGTCCCTGGGAACCAGAACGAGTGGTTTCTGTTGTCGGGTTTTTTTTGGTCATCTTCTCCCTGGAAACTAGATTTTAGAATAGTGTAAAGGACTGTTCTTCACAGAAGATCATGCACAAGTAGAAGTTCTGGCTCTAGAGAGAGGAGATTACTGACAATCAAGTGGACCATGAACTTGACCCAAGAGGTGAGTGTCTTCTCAAGAGGAAAGAAATCCTACCCTGCCTGCTAGCCCTTGCCGGCCTTTTTGTGCTGGGTATATGGCTGTCACTACAGTCAAGGGTCTAAAGTTCAATGACACAGTTGCTCTGATAAAGAGTAATGGAAGGAAAGGGGGAGAAATGTATAGCCCCAGCTGTACCGCAGGGGAAGGTCTGTCCTCATCTCCTTGTCTACTAATGGCTGGTATTTGCTAATGTAAATAATAGTAAATTATTGAGAATTCTAATGCTTTTACACAGTCTGTTTTTAATCTATTTTAATTAAATAAAATTAATCATCCTACTTTGATCTATTGAAGATGTTTGTATAGAAAGGAGTGGTTCATTTTGTTCCCTACCCAGGGAGGGAAATAAGATGCTGGCCCTGGAGTCTGGCCCTGAGCTCTGTCCTTCTTGCCCTCAGGAGAGATATGTCCAAATTGAAAAAATGAACACATAGCAGGGAACAGTTGGCTCATACCTATAATCCTAGCTACTTAGGAGGCTGAGATCTGAGGATTATGATTCAAAGCCAACCTGGGCAGGAAAGTCCATGAGACTCTTATCTTCAGTGAACCACCCCCAAACCAGAAATGGAGCTGTGACTCACCATGGTAGTAAGTGATAAAGCACTAGTTTGAGCACAAAATCTAAGAGACAATACCCAGCCCCTGAGTTCAAGCCCCATGACTGGCCAAAAAAAAAAGTCCTATAATCCTAGCTTCCTAGGAGGCTGAAATTAGAGGATCAACATTCAAAGCAAGCACAGGGAGAAAGTCTGTGATATTCTTATCTCCAACTAACTACCAAAAAGCTGGAAGTGAAGCTGTGGCTCAAATGGTAGAACACTGGCCTTGAGTACAGAAGCATAGGATGATGAACAGGCCATGAGTAAGTACATATGTACGTTTGTATGTACATGTACACACACACACACACACACCACACATGAACACACATAAGGTTTTTTGTTTTAACATAAAAGTTTTTCCCTTCTCCATTGGCCCTTTTGACAGTCACAGGAAGCTCCTTTTTGGTGTAATTTCTGGTTCTTTCGATGGGCTTTCAATACTGTATTAGGTGGCTGATTGAGGTTGACCAGTTTCCCTTTCCCCCTGAAAGAATTTAGTGCAGTTCTGTTCAGTGCTAAAGCATCTTGCCCAATAGTTACATTTAGGGTCAATTAACATGTTGAGTGAGTTCTGATTTAACCTTCAGTGCATGGTGCCAAGGTTATTCTCATCATCCTTGCTCCCCAGAGATGCTCCCTTCCCAGTGTCTGACCACTATGAAAGCAGCTTCTTTAGCTCCTGCCCTTGTTCTCCTTGAATTTCTCTGTCAAGACCCTGCTGTGGCACCCTGAGCCTCCTCTTGCCTTCCCTGAAGAAGCTTCGGTGATTTTTATCAGTCCTTCCAAACATCAGCCCATTCTCTAGTTTCCATCTTTTTCTGGAAAATCTTAGTCTTCTGGGCCCATTCTTCATGTTGGAAAGCACTCTTAAGAACAGATGAATATTTAAGTGTGGCAAAATGGAGAGCTTATGCACTACGTGCAGGTACTACTGTTCAGCAGATTGTTCTACTTGGCAGTGTGGATTTAGAATAGCTAGATCTCACTTTTGAATAGGACCTAAATATCTGACTTCATGTGAATTCAATCATTTTAGTCACTTGATTTTCCTATTTGAAAAGAACTTTTTGTACTTCCCGTTTATAGACTGTGGAATCATCCCTTTTTTGACTGTTTTGCAAATAGATGCTGATTTCCTCCTAGGAGGCTTAAAGTAAAGGGGTAAAATATGATCTGATCATGACCTGAACCTACCCTTTGATGGCTACCATCCAATAAGGGCCCTCATTGTGTTTAGCAAGATGAGGACATGCCCCTGGGTGACTGAGCAGGCTGTAGCAAGCACGCGGTTCTCCTGGACAGCCCTTACCAGTAGAAATATGTTCAAAGTGTTGGTAGCTGTGTAGCCCTGAGCAACATGTTCTAACCTTCACCAATTTCTCCCCTTGGGCATACAACACATTTTTGGCTTTCATTTAGGAGGGCATCTGTTACATCCCAAGCACTTACTATTAGCATATAATAGTTCCACAAGGGAGAGGGGTCATTGTGACATTTCTATACATGTATATAATCTAATGAGTCCCACTCTATCACTCTCCCCCCCCTTTCCCACAACAATTTCAACAGGCTTCATTCTTCTATTTTCATACCTGCAAACAATCTTTGGCCACACTCATCTCATTCATCCTTGCTAGCTCAACCCTTCCCACTAGTACCCAACAGCCAACAGAGCCTGCTTCTGTGTCCTTTTCCCCAACTCCATATTGATCAACAGCTTTCATGATCTGTAGGGAACAGGGCTACCCCTAGTATCTGGTACTGGGCTCTGGGCTGACTAGGGAAGATGGATAGTCACCCAGAGTATAGGCACCAATAAGGGAGATTTCTAGGGGTGTGGGCCCTAGATATGTTGGCTTGTGTGAAAAATCTGAGCTAGCAAATAAGTCTCTTACTATGTATAAGAATTGGCTGACTCTTGGAGTGACAGACCAGGCCACTATGGGCATGAAATAGGAAAGCATCAATTACAGAAATGAGAAAACAAGGTTATGCACACTTAATCTATGCACTGCAGTCTATCTTGTTTCATCTCTTGCTGGGCAGATAGTGAAAAACTAAAAAAGTAGTGTGTGTCCCTTCATGAAAAACATTTTCTGACAGGCACAAGGCTCCCGGGGATAGGTGGCTAATATATTCACATGCCCCAATGTTGAAGGTTTTTAGCAGAACGTTTCACCATTCCTTTCCCCTACCTCAACATTGACTAGCTTCTAGTGTTTTTATAACATACATACACACATATATGTTTAATCATTTTTCCAGTGCTATGGGTGGAATCTAGCACATATGTCTTGCAAGGGCTAAGCAAATACTCTATCACTGAGCTACTTCATCAGATCTTGTGTTTTTGAGACAAGGATTCACAATGTATTTCAGACTGACTCCAAACTTGTGATCCTCAAGTACTGGGATTGCAGGTGTGTGCCATTATGCCTAGCCCATGCAACATTTTTATGCAAATTCTAAACAAACACAAGCACATGCTTTTAAGGCATGTGAGTCTATTGTATTTGTGGCCAATAATAATGTTTTGAAGTGCGTTTTCTATATATACTCCAGAAATAATCTCACAGGACAGAGATTTACTCTCAGTAAATTTTTCCTCTGATTAAAAAGTGTGAATGGTATATTAAGATACTTTAGATTAACTGAGACAAAATATCTAACATACCACCTAAAGGTGGTATTTATTTTGGTCCCTTGGCTCTGTTGCTTCTGGGTGCATGTGGTGAAACAAAGCCTCATGATGGTGGCATGGGATGGGCAAGCTGGTTCATCTCATACCAGCTAAGACCGAGAGACTTGGAACCAAATATATTCTTCAAAGACATACCCCAGAGGCCCACTTCTTCCAGTAAGACCCTATCTTCCACAGTTTCCACCACCTCCCAACGGTCCACTCACTTAAGAATGTAAGACCTGTCTGATTGTATTAAAGTGTATTGATGGTTGTTCTGTCTGTTTTAGGCACAGGGTGGCAAAGAATGACGATGGCCACAGTCCAGGCGATGATTTTGGTCTCATAGATAGTAAGCTAGGGAGCAAATCCCTCTTCTGTGGCACAGGAACATGAAACCATCTTGAGTGGATGCTCAAATATCCTAATGGTTCCCTTTCTATTAATTTACAAAAGAAAAAACTGTGCCCTAAATAAGTCATGACTCCCTGTAAGTAGGAAAAGTCAAGTCATGATTCATATGATTCCAACAATATAGGAATTGTAAAGCAGGGATTCATTAGATTAATAGTCCTGGAAATGTCATTGGTATCAGTGCTATTTGGTGTTACACCTCAAAATTCAGTAAATTAGTATAAAAAAGTGGCTATATTGCACTTTCCTCATTTTTTTTTTGGTTGGCAAGTGAAAACTTGACATAAGCAGCCAATAATTTATTGGAAACCCATGAAATGAGCAAAAGAAATAGAAATGTCTTCACTGGAAATCCAAGGCTTAACTGAAATGTGGACCGTGTGAATATATCAACCATGAAGGGACATACAGTACTTTTTTAGTTTTTTGCTATGTGCCCAAAAGGAGATGAAATAGGATAGACCACAGTGCATGAAGGTTGTGAGGGAGGATCCTCTTCTTAGTCCCAAAGCACCTTTGCTTTAAGAAGAGGAGGTCAGTAGAAAAATAGTGAAGAAAGGTGATGTCATGCTCCAACCATGTCCTCTTGGAAGGGACATTTATGGCTCGTGGCCACCACCAGGCAAAAGTTAATCAGTTGGTCAATTCCTCCGCAACTGGTGTCCATGGCACTGAACGGGCTAGTTTTGGTAAAGTGCTGTGGCTGACTGCCCTGCCTCCAGACACTTCTCTCCCAGACATAGCAATATCCAGGCCCGCCTCACACGTGGAATCCAGTCTGGCTTCCAAGTCAAAGAGAATTGGAAAAATCTCATTTCTAATCAATTGAATATTGATTTTAGAGTATAATTCTCATGTGCTAATATTGTTTAATAATTTTATTCATTACTCCACATCTTGTATTTGCTAGGCAAGTACTCTACTGTTGAGCTATGTTTCCAGTCCTAGCTTTGCTTATTTTTATTGTCAAGGTAAGGTACAGAGGGGTCACCGTTATATTAGCAAATTAATAAGTACATTTTTCATCAAACTTGTTACCCCTTCCCTCATTTTTCTCCTACTTTCCCTCCTCCCCACTTCCAATTTGTACAGATCATTTCTAACATATTATCTGTGTATATTGCTGTTGCATTGGTTCCCCCCTTTAGCTTTGCTTTTTGAACAAATATTGCTTGTATAGTACAAAATTCAAGAGGGGCAAAAAATTGATCATTGAACTGGGCTCCTGTGGCTCACATCTATATTCCTAGCTACTCAGGAGACAGATCTGAGTTTGAAGCCAGCACAAACAGAAATGTCCATGAGACCTTTATTAATAACTACCAAAGAAGTTGGAATTGGAGCTGTGATGTAAGTGGTAGAGAGCTAACTTTGAGCAAAAAGGCTCTCAGGATTGGCATTAAAAAAAAAAAGAGGTAGAGCTGGGCGCTGGTGGCTCACGCCTGTAATCCTAGCTACTCAGGAGGCTGAGATCTGAGGATCACAGTTCAAAGCCAGACTGGGCAGGAAACTCGTGAGACTCTTATCTCCAGTAAACCACTAGAAAACCAGAAGTGGTGCTGTGGCTCAAGCAGTAGAGCACTCA